CCGCCTTCCTTCCCTACCTCCCTTCCTCCACTTATTTCCCCCCAAGGCTTCAAGCTGTTCTGCCACAAGCGTTGCAAGGCCCTCTTTGAAGACGTGAAGAGCAAGATCCCGCCCACCATGGTCAACTTCTTCTCCCACTTTGACGAGGCCTACGACCTGGGCGAGTTCCCGAACCGGCATCCTTTGCGCCTGCTCAGCGTGCGCATAGATGGCGTCCCCGTGGAGGACTTGCCATGCATCGACGTCTGGAACGCGGACAGTGTCAAGGTACAGGACCGGGGGGGAGGAGCCCGGGGTCGACAGGGGCGGTGCTGTCATGCGTCTCGGGGGGGGGGGGGGAGGAGGGACAGAGGTGTGGACGAGGATGGTACGGCGGGGAACCCGTTGAGAACAGCCCCAAAAAAGCCCTCCCACGCGGATTGACCCCCCAGCATGCCTCCCCCTTTCCCTTTGTCTCCTCCGTCCAGGTGTATTCCTCCCTGACCGCCCCCGCCGCGAGCAAGTCCTGGGAGGAGGAGACGGGTCTCTATCGGGAGGTGGAGGCCCGTCTCTTGGGGGACTTCGTCCTGATCGGCCGTTTCGGCGGCAAGTACGGCCACGACGAGCACGATGCGAGCAAGATCCTCTTCCGCTACGTGGGGCACACGGCGTTTTTGACGGAAGGCGTGGTGGAGCTTCGGAAGGATGCCTTTGATATCATGCAACGGTACAAGCAGAATTTTGAGGAGGACAGCTTCGCGATGGAATTGGAGTTTGAACGCTTGGGGCCTGGGCTCTCAGCCGGGCTGGATGACTCCGCGACGACCCTCCGGTTGTGGGAGGCGCTCCCGGAGAAGGTGTGGCCGGTGGGAGGAAAGGAGGGACGGAGGGCGGGGCTGTGGGAGCTGGGGAGGATGCACCGGGTCGCGAGCGACTTTGACCACGTCCAGCATTTGCGAAGGGTAGGCTATGCGGAGGACGCGAGCAAACTGGCCCTTGCCCTGGGGAACAACCGGGTGGAGGCCGCCGTCGCCTGGTTGGGGCGGTTGGCGGAGATCATCCCCGTCCACCGCCCGCAGGTCCCGGGGGAGGGAGGGATGGAGGGAGGGGACGAGGGAGGGGAGGACCAGGCCCAAAGCCAAGGGCAGGGGGGGAGAACGAAGGGAGGCGGACGCTGCGGGGCTCCTCGTCCTTGCCCTCGCTCGGCCGCAGTGGGGACGGGCACGGCACGGGGTCTGTGCCTCTGGGCCCAGGTAGCCGCCTCTGCGCCGTCTGCGAGTCAGCTGACCCAGCGCACCTCTCCCAACTTCTTTGTATGCCTGGGGTGCCGGAAGCTTTCCACACGTTCTGTGTGAAACTCCCCGCCACTCCCCTATTCCCGCGATCATGTCGCCTGGGAAGATTATGTCCGGAAGCGTTTTGCGGCGTGGCGGTGCCCGGGATGCCTCTCCCGGAGTGCGCTGGGCGTGGAGGCCTGGTCTCAGAGGCCGAGAGGGGAGGAAATGAGAGCGGCAGGGTCAGCTGTCAAGGCCATTGCCGCCACAACAAGCTCAAGGATCAGTCAGGGGGTGGACGCGGCGCTCCCGGCGGGTTCAGAGTGGAACGC